TTTGAACTCCAAGGCCAAACTTCCCTGTTGTTCCTTTTATCTCTTGACTCCCTACTTTGGCATTCCAGTCCCCTAGAATGAGAAGAACATCTTTCTTTGGTGTCAGTTCTAGAAGGTGTTGTAAATCTTCAAAAAATTGTTCAATTTCAGTCTCCTCAGCAATGGAGGTTGGTGCATAAACTTGGATTATTGTGATGTTGAAAGGTCTGCCTTGGATTCGTATTGACATCATTCTATCATTTTTGAGATTATATCCCAATACAGCTTTTCCCACTCTTTTGTTGACTATGAGGGCTACTCCATTCCTTCTACAGGATTCTTGCCCACAATAGTAGATATGATAATCATCTGAATTGAATTCACCCATTCCCGTCCATTTTAGTTCACTGATGCTCAGGATGTCAGTGTTTATTCTTGCCATCTCCTGTACGACCACCTCCAGCTTCCCAAAGTTCATAGGTCTTACATTCCAGGTTCCTATGCAGTATCTTTCTTTGCAGCATTCCTTTCACTTCCAGGTTAGTCCACAGCTGAGCGTCCTTTTGGCTTTGGCCCAACCACTTCATTAGCTCTGGAGCTACTTGTACTTGTCCTCTACTCTTCCTCAGTAACATGTTGGACGCCTTCAGACCTGAGGGGCCCATCTTCCAGCGTCATATTCTTTAGCCTTTTGTTTCTGATCATGGGGTATTCTTGGCAGAGATACTGGAGTGGCATTGCCAGTTCCTACTCCAGGTGGATTGCGTTTGGTCGGAACTATCCACTATGACCTGTCCGTCTTGGGTGTCCCTGCAGGGCATAGCTCATAGCTTCCCTGACTTACTCAAGCCCCTTCGCCACGACAAGGCAGCAATCCGTGAAGGGGATTGAAACAATAATGATACTCATGTCCAGAGAAATAGCAGGATTCTGGTCACTGCATGTATTCCCCATCCCCCCTACCAAGATTTTGTTCCTGTTTCTCCTAGGACAAACCTCTATTAGATTGTGTGAAGCAACACACAATCTAATAGAGGCTTGGCCTAGGAGAATCCTGGTAATGTTTCCTTTAAAGTAAGGCTATAGTATTTTGTGGACAAGGAATTTCTTATTTATTTGTTGCAATCTTTTATCTGCATTTTAAATGACAAAAAAATCTCCCAAGGTGGCAAACTAATAACATCATTAAAAATGCATGCACAGTAAGCAGTAACAGTATGTCTTCAATGTATTCAGTTACTGAGATCCATGACTTTAGATGTTTAATGATAGATTGTCCTGTATAGCAGTGGTCCCCAAACTTGGGCCTCCAGATGTTCTTGGACTACAACTCCCAGAAGTCTTCACCACCACCTCTGCTGGCCAGGATATCTGGAAGTCCAAGAACATCTGGAGGCCCAAGGTTGGGGACCACTGCTGTACAGGATGTGAAAGCCTAGCTGAAGAAGGTTGGAAATCTTTTCCCCCCTGTTATTCTATTGGTAAAGGTTTTGTGGATAGTTCATCTATGCCCCTTTCTCTATGTCTAAGGTTATGACTTCACTGACAATTCAGAGTGATTCAGCTTCACTGCGATTTGATTCTCAGCCTTTCTTCTGTTTCTGTTCACACAGAGGACATGGATCCTTACAGTGTGATCCACATTTCAATCCACAGACACGCACCCCTTTCTCCCTCCCTCCCTCCTTCCATCCATTTCCATGTTCTTGCCTCTGCCAATCTTTTTATGGTTTGCTTTAGAAAATATTTTCAGCATAAACTAGTACCGTTTATTCCTGAAAATAAGACAGGGTTTTATATTAATTGTTGCCCCAAAAAACGCATTAGGGCTTATTTTCAGGGGATGTTTTATTTTACAGTCATGTCATCTTCTGGTTGCTGCATAATTCTGCACAATGGTGGAAGGCGAGGTTTCATTTAACTAGGACTTATTTTTGGGGTAGGACTTATATTACGAGCATCCTGAAAAATCATACTAGGGCTTATTTTAAGGTTAGGTCTTATTTTCGGGGAAACAGGATTCAATGCAGTGAATCAGTGCTGAACTTGCTTATTCAAATAAATAAAAAAATCAGGGATGCTCAGGACAGATCGCAAGGGTGGGTATTCCCATGGTGTCTAAATATCAGGCCCCAAGAGTTCAGCTGATTCAAATTGATGTTTGCATCATGTGATCAGTAAAAAGATACAAATTCATCCATTTTATAACTGTAGTAAATCCCACGGTGCTTGATCATATAGCTGCAACCCTTAGATAGTGGAAGAAAGATGTGTCTCTCTGTGTTTGTGTAAATGTGTGTGTCAGATACAAGTGACTGCATAGGTACACACTTTGTCCTTTGTGCATCCACAGTTTCTGTACTCATAGCTCCCTGTAGCTGTTTCTCCCTGGCAGAGATCCAAATGTATTTTGGAAAAACATGCATATGAGATGCTGCACAGGGGAAACCACTGGTGGGTGTCTGGTGATCTGGAATTGCAAATTAACTGCTATTGAAGTCCAGTGGATACTTCATTATTTATTATAACAGAATCAGAGTGCAATATTCTGCATTTCCAATTAGTTAGTCCTTGAAATACTGATCTTACAAAGGTAATAGGCAATATTTAGTGACAGATATTATGACTTCAGAGATAAATGAGAAAAAGAGGATGCCCCTGACCTTGGTAAATTATCATAATTTATTTTCATTCCCTCTGAAATGGGATGTACATTGCAAGGCAATTATAAGCCAATCTTTTTCAACATGACATAAAATAGAAAAAGTAATCTGTAAAGCAGCAGAGAATTCTATGAAATCTGTAAGGTTCATGGACCTGCTTGGTTCAAGTTCTCCTGAACAGCAACAGGTACTCAAATGTCTGTTATTTTGAGAGCAGGAAGATTTCCAAGCAATTAATGCCTAGCTAATTAAAAATATCAGCTGGGTCTCTGATGTGATTTCATGTGGAACATGAAATATGATCTATTGTAAGACATTTAAAATAGAAGCCAATTCAAAGTTAGCTTTAGAAATATGAAATGTCAGTTGTGGTAGCAAATGTATGTGTGTATGGACTAGCTTTTTCTAAGTAATGAAATTAAAGAGGTCATCTTTAGTTTGGGTTCCTTTGAGGAGAAAGGTGGGGTAAAAATATTTTTCAATAAATTAAATAAATAAATCTGAAAAAGCTGCTTGAGCCTTGAGCAAACCACTCGGTAAAAATATTTTCAATAAATTAAATAAATCTGAAAAAACTGGTTGAGCCTTGAGCAAACCACTCTGACTGGTAGAAGGAGCTGGTTTGTCTGGCAAAATATTCTTTTGTTGTATTTGTGTGTGAATTTATTTGTTCTCCATTGTATTATTCAATTGATGATTTTTGTAAAAAAAATTATTGTCTATGTATATTCAAATAAACATGGCAATCTGGTCTTAGTGAGTCTGGCAACCAGTCAGTTAAATGTTGCAAAGGTTTGGCAAGGAGCATTAATTAAACCACTTTCACCTCTAAAATGCAGGGTTTGCAAAAGTCACTTTTATGGTACTACAACTCCCAGATTGCCCATCACCCTTTCTTGTCAAGACCCATTTCACAGGGTTATTGCAAGTTAAACATGTGGAGAGAAAGGAATGATGTACAACTTGAACTCATTGAAGGAAAGACAGGATATAACTGTAACCAACTCACTAACAAATAAATAAGGCAGCCAGAGAGCCGATAAAGAACAAAGGGACCAGATCCATACTGATTGGGGGTTCTCTACTGCCCCACTCCCTTTGCCATTGTCTTAATCATCTGACTCTTATAGTTTGGTATAAATGTTATATATTGCTCTTCTATAGAGCTGAAGTTTTGAGTGTTCTGGAAAAAAAACCCATTTCTTCTAAATGAGAAGCAACATATTTATTACTGTATTTTTTGCACCATAAGACTCACTTTTTCCCCACAAAACAGGGGTGTGGAAAGTCTGTGCGTCTTATGGAGCGAAAAATAGTAATTTAAAATATTTTTACCCCACCTTTCTCCTTAAGTACTTAAGGTGGCTTACATGGTAAAAAGACAGTATGTAAAGCTAACAACAGTAAGTATACAAATACTAAAAGGATCAAACAAATACCGCTCTAAAAATGATAAACAAAAGCAACACCAAAATACATTCAAAGCAGTAAGGCACAACATTACATTTAAAAAAATCTCACTCAGGGAGCCAAACACTCAGGGAAAGCTTGCCTGAAGAGAAAGGACTTTGCCTGCTTGCGGAAGGACAGTAAAGATGGGGCCAGGCTAGCTTCCTGTAGGAGGGAGTTCCAAAGTCTTGGGGCAGCAACAGAGAAGGCTCTCTCCTGGGTCCCCATCAGACACATCTATGAAAGTGGCAAGACCGAGAGAAAGGCCTCTCCTGATGATCTTAACACCCAAGAAAGGAGTTGCAGTCCTTGAGGTAGCTTGGACACAAGCCATTTAGGATTTAATTGGTTATTGTGCCCAGAAATGAATTGTCAGACAGAGGAACTGCTGTGGGGGGGGGTATGTGTTCCCTGTAATCAGCACCTATCAGAATCTGGTTGGTGTGTTTTGGACCTTTTGAAGTTTCCTAATGCTTTTCACATGTAGCCTCACTAGAGCACATTACAGTTATGCACCTGGGATTACTGTTTCAGACAATCTCCCAGCTTTGTACACAGAAAGAAAGTTAAATTACCTTTTTGGCATAGGTAACTTAATGCATCTAGCTTAATGCACCTCAGGCTTACAAAGACCTGGGGTTTTGCTTCATGTTATCCCATTTAATCCAGGATATTAATCTGAAATTGAATTTTGTATGTTAGATCATTTGTTAACAGTTTTGGTTTGAGATATACAGATATGTAGGAAGTGCTGTGTGTGTATGTGCCTCTAACAATGATGACAGGCAGAAAATCAAACATTTGCGCTCTTAAGAAAAAGCCCCTTATATGAATTTGTATAAGTCATATGCTTTCCTCTTTCAGGGAAAAAGGAGCAATGTTTTCAGAGAATGTTACTTTGGGAGCCAAAAACATTACAAGGTGACAAAGCTCTGTCCAGCTGTGGGCTACACATTCCGATTAGCAGCTCAGAATGACATAGGCATTAGGTAAGTCCTTGCTTCATACGGACTCCGTTAACAAGCATCCAGCTGGGTCAGAGCAAAGGCCTGGCTAGTCAAGCATCCTGTTTGTCACAGCAGGCAGATTTGTGTGTTTGCAGAGATGTTTTGCTCAGATCAATGCGTTTATATAGTGGTGCCTCGCTTAACAATTGCCCAGCATTATGACGAAATTGCTCTACGATGATCTCTAAACGATGGTTAAATAGGGTTTTTTCGCTTTGCAATAATCAGTTCCCTGCTTCGGGAACCGATTCTTCGCAAAACGATTTTTAACAGCTGGTCGGCGGTTTCAAAATAGCCACCGGGTGCTTAAAATGGCCCCCTGCTGTGTTTAGGGACAGATTCCTTGCTATACAGGCAGCGAAAATGGCCGCCGTATGGAGGATCTTCACTGGACGGTGAATTTTTACCCCATTGGAATGGATTGAACAGGTTTCAATGCATTTCAATGGGGTTCTTAATTTCGTTTTATAATGTTTTCGCTAAACGGTGATTTTCCTGGAAGGGATTATCGTCGTTAAGTGAGGCACCACTGTACCTGCATTTTGGCATTGGATTCACAGCTGAAAATAAAAGTGCATCAGTTAGGGTTAAACAGGGATTATTAAGAGGAAGCAAAGCATAGCTCAGCTCAAGTTCCGGGATGGTACTTGGTGAAACAACTAAGTAGTGCCAAAGTATTAAAATAAGATTCCAGAAGTAATGCAGATGTAATTCAGGCAGAGAAGCAGCCAGACCTCTGAGGATTAACAGCTAATATAAAGGATATATATTGATCTAGAATTCCTTCTAGGTAGCCAAAGGACAGGAATGTTTGACTGGTTCTGCAGCTTCCTTGTCATTTGGGATACCAGATAAAACTAGCTGTTATAGAACTGAGGCTCTGGACCAACATTCTCCAGACAACAACAACTCCGATTTTTTTTTGTTCTGTCTTTAATTTGCAAAATACCTCTGCTCTGAAGAAAGCAGTACTGTCACCTTCATCTGCCCTGTTATCTAATGAAGGTTCAATCTGAGGTGAAACAAGCAGAGCCCTATATCTGCACCACCGCCTATTACTATGATTTTGTGCATAATTTAGAATACATATAATGTGCATGTAGAAAGCAAAGTTTATGTGGGCTGGGGAGGTTGCTACTTGATGAACACATCACCAAGACACTCAGTATTTCCTGTTGTGTTCTTGGCCTCTGGGTCACCCTTTGTTTTTCCTGCTGCTCTTACAGTGGCTTTAGCCAAGAAGTTGTCTGCTACACATCAGGAAATATTCCTCAGACCCCTTCGGCACCACGGCTCGTCCGGGCTGGAGTCACATGGATCACCTTACAGTGGAATAAAGCAGAAGGTTGCACACCAGAAGAAGTAATTTCATACACTCTGGAAATGCAGGAGGATGATAATGTAAGTTCCCAGTTAAGACATCTGGATCCAGAAACATCTGGAGCTAACAGAAATTGCCTTTTTGTTTTCATATGTGTCCGAAAGAGGAGTCAGTCATTCGAGGAAGGGACCCATCAGATTTCAAGTTCGTGCCATTTCCCTTTCTCTTCAGCCCCTGAAAAGTGCACAGAGATCTTTGATGATATTTACCACTCCTTATATCTTCGCTATGTAAGAAAATTTACAAGGCAGGAGTGAAGCAAATTGCCCAAATCTTCAACAAAAGTCTACCTATCATTTACCAGCTCATGAACTCAAGCCTCGGTGAGAAAGGAGAACACTCCACAGAGGACTGGAGGGGCAGAAAACAAAAAAGTAGATGGGGTAGAATAAGAATGGAGTATTCTGGACCAAGGCATGGCCCTTGATTGGAAGTAGCGTTGAAGAAGACCTTGCTCTGTACTGCAGTGTTTGGTTGGAGGTATCATGTAGCTGTTTTAAGATCCATACCTCTGGACATTCCTGTGATTATTCTAGCTTGAAGGGAAAGGGGTTGAGTTTTCATCCTCTTTATTATTTAGTAGAGCAGCAGTTGAAGAGACTCAAAGCCCCATTATGACTAAGGGTATGTCATAACTCAGCTATATTTATTAAACTTAGTGATTTTTAAAAATGTTTTTAAACTTGTTTTTACTTTTGTTTTTAGTATTGATATATGCATAATTGCTAGGTTATAGTTCTATGAAATATTTATGATATTTTAAAACTGTTGACTGTTGTATAGTTTTAATTGTTCTGAGCCACCTTCAGTCCCCTAAGAGGGGGAAAGTGGTATACAAATAACAGCAACAATAACGATAGCAGCAGCAGTAACTAGCACGACAAGAACATTTGCATTGCTTTTATGAAAGAGTTTTCTGAACCCATGGTAAACAGAGGTTTAAATTAACAAAATTTCATCTGACCCAGAATACTTAATCTGTGAACCAAAGTCCGGCCTGTCAAACATGCCAAGGTGAAATGCCGTGCTTTGGCTTTTCTATATAAAACCTTTAAAAATGGATAAAATCTTGCTATGATATTACATAGCATCCAGCATTGAAGGGGTCCCAAGGTAGTTCTGTGCCTTTCCCAAAAAAATGAGACCATTTATGTCCCAGCCCCAGATACATGCAGTCAGATCACTAAAAGCTGTTCTGAGCACTCTGGAGCTTGCAGTGGTGTGTTGACACTCTGTATTATAGTTCCCTTTCATTAGTAATTTTCCCTGGAAAGCAATTCCCAATTAACTTGCAGGTGTGCGATTGTGATGACACCCAGATGTGTAAGGAGTGTCATCCACTCACAGCTCTGTGAGTTAATGGGGAAAATGGGTCTCCCCAATTTATGCAGTTGATTGCAATCTCATTCTGGCATTTTACTGCAGTATAACCAACAGTGCACAACTACACTGGGGAAATCTGTTCTGAAACCGTGGAAAGGCCTGTAGCACAAAGCATCCAAGAGAAGTTCTTTCTGCCCATTTCAGTGCATCAGGATGAGTACTGTACAGGCCTCTGTGAACCATCTGCTCCAATGGAATCTTTTCACCTAGCACAAAAACAAGCAGTTACACCCAGATGACAGCTTGTGTCTGTTTGCTTTGCTGGCATATTGCCCTGATTTTTCCCATTGTGCTGGAGTGGGGGGGACAGACCATAATTTATTATTTCCATACTTGATGGTGCTGTAGCTCATGCTGTTGATCCAGAGATGTGATATATTCTGCAATTATTCTGCTGTCCGCCCTGCTTTCCCACCCAAATATTTGGACTTGCTTCATTTTCTTGGCAAAAGTCTACATGTTTATAAAGATCATAATTACATGTTAAAGGAGGTGCATATTTCCTTGCTATTATGTTTTCTCCCCAAGCAAGCAATTCCTTTTAAAACTCTGTGCTTGAGCAATACGTGGTAAATAAAGTCTGTGTTGACTTCCAACTGACTTTCCAATTCTCCTATCACAAAGGAAAAGCAAGCTAATTTGCTTCTAATTACAGGCTCAGTAGCGTGTCTAGTTTGAGCCAAGCCTTCTCCTCCTCTGTGCACTTGGGAAACAAGTGAGAGCCTCTCTCAAAATGAAAATTCATTGTGCTGTGCTTGAGATTTCATTTCTCGGCACAAGAGGGAGCCAATTTGCCTCTCAGAGTAAAGGGATATCCTTAAAACTGCAAGACGGGCCTTAGAGGAAACTAGGTTTAGAGGAAACCTAGCTCTGTGCTACACATGCAGAGCCCCCATCACTGAATAGAACAGTTGCATGTTGGCTTGGTGGTAGCGAAATCAGTTGGAATTAAAACCAGAGTAGTCCAGGACAAAGATGACAAGTGGCAAAGACAGTTTTAATAGGTGTGCTCAATTTTAGTTCTAAGGTTGCCAGCTTAAGTTTGCCAAGGTTTTTCCTGGAGCTTATAAAAGTTTTTTTTTTAGACTACAGTTCTCAGAATTTCTCTACCTACATGAAACTGGGGGAATTAGGAAGCTGAAATCCTAAAAGTAACTGTTCCCCCCCCCCTTTTGAATGGCCATCCAGTTGGCTCACTTGGGACACCAAGCTGTGGTTTGATAGCTCATGTCCAAACCTTAGATCTATGCATTCCTTTCCCTAACCCCTGCTGAGCCTTTAACTACTGCACAGATGCCGTTCTGGGGCTGAAAATAAATGTGACTCAGAACATTTCGAGAGAGATTTAAAGGGGAAAAAGTTTTTGACTGCAGAGAGATAATAACCCATTTGCATTATACAGTAGCAGCTCCTAATGTCTGAATAGAAGTGGTGCATTATTGCTATGGCAGTGCGAAACTGTTGAGAGTGGTCCTTAACTTGTTTGATTTTGTTCTTTAACTTCTATTCTTGTTTTTACCCTAGGATAGTGTATTTCACCCAAAGTACACTGGAGAAGATCATACCTGTACTGTGAAAAATCTTAAAAGAAGCACACAATATAAATTTAGGGTAGGTTCTGCTTTTTCCTTTGCATGCCCTTGACCGTTGCAGGAGGACTCCAAATATTGTGGTGCTCTGTCGCACGTTTTGTGTTACCATACAGGAGAGAAGGGAAGTAAGACCTGAGACGAAGCTGCATTTTTGGCCATCAGGCATACATGGAACTCTGCCCTAAAAATTCTAAAGTGATTATCAGTGATTATGAAATATTTCTGGTTAGCGTTGTGATAATTCCTAATTGTTGGGTAGACAGTATTATCACTGAAGTAAAATGTTTTGGTATCATGATTAGAAAATGTAAAAATCTGCTGTAAGGGGCCTAGTTTGGAGGAAACAACAAATTTGTGTTAGGTAGGCATAACAGGTCAGCCAACTAAAAACACCTCCCCAAATTATGTAATGCAAACTAAGTAGTAATATTACTCCATCTGAAGTTATCAGTTGACTGTAGAATTGTTGACATGAGAAATAGAAAGGTAGTAAGGAGAGTTATTTTATTAGATCAGGCTATTGATAAGAGCAGCTTTATGCATGTGTTTTTTGAAATTATTTATTTATTGAATTCGTGCCCTGCCCATTTAGTCCACTGAGTACTCTGGGCGGCTAACAACATATAAAATAAATGATTTAAAATATAAAACAAGCAATACAACAATAGACAAGGACTCAAGATGAGAAAACAAAGTAAATCAAGTGGTGGCTGGAGGGAAGGCTTGCCTAAATAGCCAGGTTTTCAGTTGGCCTTTGAAAATGCCCAGTGAAGGGGCCATACAAATCTCAGAAGGGAGGCTATTCCAAAGGCAAGGAGCCACTGCCGAGAAGGCCCAGTTTCTTGTTTTTTCCTTCCGGGCCTCCCTCGGCGTTAGGCTCCTCAGCCTCACCTCCTGAAAGATTGATTTATCATCTTCCTTGGCTGAGTAATTTGTTTAATTGCTTAAAACTATATGTATATCTCTGCATGCAAGGCCTCAATGTAAGTCGATGCCTTTCTGAAAGACTGAAGTGGGCTCAAAAATCAATAGGAAGATATTGCCCTGTACAGAATGCAAAGGGTGCATTGTTGACAGCATTTTACAAACGGTGTCTTTTATAAGTCGTGCCCTTCTGTGTTTTATATGCACAGGCCAATCTCTGTGGAAAAGAATAAATGGACACCCATCAGACCTCAGAAATTGCAGTCTTTAAAAAATGTTAAAAGTAAACCTCACTAAAGATGGGCACAAACTGGTTTGTCCTAGTTTGTCCCCTCCCTGTCTCCTCTGGCTCAAACTGATCCTCCAGTGCCAGCAGCATCTCCTCAACTGATCTCCCAGTCCCCAGCAGGAGCACAGACTTCTCTGCCCCACCCTTTTGTCTGAGTGGGAGATCAGTCAAGAAAGAGGGAGGGACAGAGAAGCCTGATATGTTGCTGGGACTGGAAGATCAGTTGAGGAGATGTAGGAAACTAACACTCTGAGTCTGGTAAGTGACTGACTGAGGCAGAGGAGGCGCTGTTGCGTTTATGAACTGGGACAAACTGGTCTGTGCCCATCTCTGTTTGTCATTGATACTAAAGCAGAGGGGGGGGCTGCTGAGGTAGTTAAGTTCCAGTGCATTACCAGAGGTTTGCATCAGGGCCAAGGTTTCTTATCATGCTATCTATGTCAATTGACTTACTTCCTGTCAGGACATTTGTATTGGAGTCGACTGTTTTGTGAAGGACCAAATGCTAATAGCATCATTTCTCTCAGACATCACTATCTGCTGTCCCACCATCAACTATGTTATGTTGGGTCTACAGGTGACATCCTGAGATCTTACTGAAGAAGGCTGCAGTTCATAACACTTCACAGGGCTTGAATCTACAGCATATTAACATGGCTATTCCTTGTGGATATCGGCGTTCAGATTAAATTTTACATTGCAGTTTTAGGGTCTTGTCACAGGAGGGCACCCTAACATTTTAAAGAATGTATTCTTCATTTTTCTTGTGCGTGTTATACTAATCCATATGACATATCAAATTTTTGGGTGCACGTACACACTTATTAAAGCAAACAACATGTCCTATGCTTGCTCAAGGTGATAGAAAATAGTGTTCTTGTGTGCCATTGAGCATTTCCAACTCACAGCAATGCTAATAGGGTTTTTTAAGGTAAAACATATATTGAAAGAATGGCCCACCCATCTACGAATTTCCATTCCCAAACAGGGATTTGGTCCCAGGTATCCTGATTGCTAATTCCATATGGTTTTAGAAGTTTATTCAGCTGTTGAACTGGCTTCGGTTTGTTGCCTCTTGAAACTGCTGTGCAGACCTACCTACCTGAAAGATTATTGTTTTTTTTTATTTACTCTTTATTGTTCAGTTTTGTTCTGGGTTTGGAACAGAGATATAGTTTATTCCACCAGAACACTGCACTTTTTACAAAGTATCTATATCTTAAACCACATTTGTCAAGAAATTATCCAACATACAAAGCTTGAGTTCAGACTCAGATCCTGGATTAACTGGGATGACATGAAGCAAAACCACAGGTCCAGCTTGTAGCTTAAGAGTTTGGAGATATTTCATGAGAAAATAATTCATTGGCCGTAATTTCTTACAGTTTTCAGGAACATTTATGAAATGCTTTATTGTAATTCTTTAGTGGCATCTGTTAACATTCCTCAGCACTTCAGTACATTGCTGACCATTCCTAATAATTTTACTTCCGTGTTTTACATTTAATGAATGAAGAATCACATTTTATTTTTGTTTAAAGCATTCTAAAAAAATAATGAAATGTTTGTAATGCTTGAGTATTATTGAATTAAATTTATTCTACGGCTTAACATTAGCACCCCAAGCTCTGTTCTCATTCTGATATAGCCAGCGTTTCTTGTGAAGCATCTGGCCAGTTTTAAAAACAAAACAAAACTTCAGTCCAATTAACTTCCTGCGATTTGTTCCCAGTGTGTTGCAGAGCCTGGCATTACAGAGGCCTGCTGAGGCAATGTCTAACAACCTCTGGATTTTAAAATCAAAATGTAGGTGTGTTTTTGTAGAAGACAGAGTCCTCCCCTCCCCCTTCCTCCAGTGGTTCAACTGTCGATCATCATCATCTTAGAACTGTAGAGCTAGAAGGAAGCCTATGGATCACTGAGTCCCTGTCAAGAGGCTCAGAGGGGAATCAAACTTCCAACTTCTGTCTCCACAGCCAGATACCACTGAGCTATCCAGATTGTTTCACAGTACTTTGGCACACAGATTTGTGACCAGATACCTAAGCCACTGAGCTATCCAGATTGTTTCACGGTACTTTGGCACACAGATTTATGTTATAGATAATCTTGATCCTTTTCTTCCAGTTAATTGCTTCCAACGTAGAAGGGAAGAGTAGTCCTAGTGATGTCTTGGTCTGCACAACGAGCCCGGACAGGCCAGGACCTCCCACCAGACCTGCTGTTAAAGGGCCAATCACATCTCATGGCTTTGTTGTCAAATGGGGTAAGAATGCCTTCTTCTTTCTGTCTTACTGTCCTTTGCCATTGCGCATCCCAAACTTTAAAAACAGTGAGGATATTTGTAGAGGCTTCTTGTCTTCTCTGTTCCATTTTGAGATTTTTGTCTTCGTCATGTGTGTTCCTATGAATGTGTTGTGAGCATCTGGGGTCATAACAAGGATGGGGTGGAAGGGAATTAGAAGGCAAGAAAGAGACTGAATCTTGAAGAAAGGAAAAAAGGTGCCAGTTTTGATAACCTCAGAACAGAAGCAGTGGTAGTAATAAGTGTGGCATCCTCTCAACAGCACTCCATAAATGCAGCATGTTTAATTTATTGATTTGTCACCTTTCTCCTTTTTTATTTTTTAGTTATGAATTTTTTTAAAAAAACGTTTTTAAAAAAGAGTTATGAATTTGGCTCTAGAGATGCCAGGGGTGGTTAAGTTCTAACGTAACAGTCACTACCTGGAAGAGAAAGCTTTTCACAGGTGTTCTTCTGGAAGTAAAATGTATTATTTCAGCAAAATGTAATCAGTGTAGCTACATTAAAAATTGGAGTTTGTACACAATCTAAGACTGGTGGTAGAGCCAGCTTAAGAGGACAGATTCTCCTCCAGAATAAGGGCAAATCACAGGGAGAGTAGACGAGTTACCTAACAAGAAATAAAGAAGGCTCTGCTTAGGAATTCTAAATGTCTGTTGTTGCTGCTATTGCTGTCATTATGTGCCATCACGTCACCCCCAACTTATGATGACCCTATGACAGAGTGCTTTCCAAAATGTCCTGTCCTCAACAGGCCTGCTCAGTTCTTGCAAACTCAAGCCTATGGCTTCCTTTAGGTAATCAGTCCATCTTGCATTTGGTCTTCCTCTTTTCCTGCTGCTGTCCACCTCGTCAGCATAATTGCCTTTTCCAGAGAATCCTGTCTTCTCGTGATATGCCCGAAGTAGGACAGCCTGAGTTAAATCACTCTTTAAAGACCAGTCCCAACATTGAAGGGAATCCACTGCTGACAAAAACAATAGATTTTGAACCTAACCTGTACACATTTAAAGAATTGCTTTCTCTCTCTTGCTTGCTAACTTTTTAATCCTTTTTAACAGATCCTCCTCAGGATAACGGTGGTTCAGAAATCCTGAATTATCTTTTAGAAATTTCAGAAGGAAGCTCTGAAGGTAAATTCAACAAATATATGTTTAATCAAGTTAGTGATACATAACTGAAAAAAAAAAACATTTTTAGTATGTTCAGTTAAGAATAAAGTTGTAACAATATGTACTTTGGAAAAGGTTGTATTTTAGGATTCAACTAAATTAATTTAATCTGTTACCCCAGAGACATTTTATTACGGACATCTACTGATAAATAAATTGTATAAATGGCCATGGTGTTGAAATCTTTAAATTAATGGTTCCTCACAGAAATTATGTTACTAAACAGACGTCTGGCAAATACCCCTGCCAAGTTATGTTCTTTCATTTCTATCTACAATATATTTGTCAAGGAACCAAAATCATTAGTTCCCATTTACATGCTCTGAATTTTCCTAATTTTCAAGCTTTTGCTTTTATTTTTAATCTTGCATGATATATGCTCACAGAAGAAAAGATAATGCCTTTTAGACATGGCAAATAAAAAAAAGAATCTCACAATACAAAAGGAAATCTCCACCTATGTCTTTGTAATAAGTGACTGCTTTACATCCCTCTCTTCAGCAGATTAAAGGGCTTTATTGGGAAGGGTCCATATATAGTTTCTTCCCATAAGGCACCCATCTGCTATTCATCACTGAAAGGTCTGTGACTTAATGACAGCAAAATAGTACCTTGGTCCTGTAGCGGTTGTTTGTCAGTTGCTTGAGTGAATCTAATTAACTTTACAGCAAATCAATGGGAAGTGGTCTACAGAGGATCTGCTACAGAATGTGCGTGTACATACTTGAAACCAGGCACTTTGTATAAGCTCCGGGCATGCTGTATTAGCACGGGTGGACACAGTCAGGTAAGCATAATCTAATGGGGAAAAGTCCCTTTCTGCTCCCCATCACCATCACATACCTATTGAAAGCTTTTCTAATGCCCTCCATTATTGTTTTTGCTTCTCTCTCTCTCTCTCTCTCTCTCTCTCTCCATCTCTCCATCTATCCATACATATATATATATATCTCTCTCTCTCTCTCTCTCTCTCTCTCTCTCTCCATCTATCCATATATATATGGATATATATATATATTTCACAAATATGTTTGCCAGAATCCTGCTGCATATTTAATACTGGCATGAATACAACAGTGTAGATTTCAGTTGTGATGCCCCCCAAAAAATATTTTTTGAACTGCAACACTCATGATAATACATCTCCATCAACTATGATTCCTAGGGCTACTGAGAGTTGTAAGTCAGAAACATCTGAAGGACCACAACTGACTACCACTGATTTAGAAGAGCTAAAGTTGGCACACTCTAATACTGGAAGCTTTAGCTGTCCCTCTAATAAAACAGAATAAAATCTGATTCTCTTTCTTATGATTGTACATTCAAGATAAATGTCACACTGTCTGCTTCTTCCATTTACTGCTACACTTCTAATTAAGTTTTCTAATTTTTTATATGATGCACACCAGATTTTCTACAGAGTGTCACCTGGAGAAATCTCATAGGATGGCAAGGGTTGGGAGGATGACTAGTAGTAGCCTTGTCTTCCAGCAACCTCATGAACTGATCTGAATATTTATTTAGTTGCCAGTTATATTTTTTTCCTTCCTTTCAGACCTCAGGGCGGTATATTTCTCTTCCCATTCTCATCTCACAAGGCTCTTAAAGAAGAGAAGCCAGGCTGAGCTTATTAGTGAACATTGTTCTGTATTGTGTGTAATAAAAACAAACACAAATGAAAGGATTGTGGCACCTTCAGGACTAACACATTTATTTCATTGTGAGCTTCCCATAGATTACAATTCACTTCCTCAGAAACTTTGAATGAAACGTTAAGCTACAGCAGATACCAAATCCTGGACTCCTTAGTAGCCCCTTTGTATGGATGGCGGGGCTACTGAGGGTGTCATAGCAGAGCCACTACACACAGCTCTGCTCTCCCCTCCACACGTATACTTATTACAGTAGAAAATCCCGAAGCTGTAAAGATTTGTAATAGTCTATGCTGGCAAATGTCAGTAGGCTAGTTCTACTGTTAGTGCTTGCTATTACTCAAGTTTATGCCTGTTAAACAGGGGGAAATATTCTAGAAATTCATATTTAAGTTAAAAAAAAACTATTCAGTGAATTCAGGAGAACACCCCAAACATTGGTTACAGAACTCCATGCTGTTCATCTTTCTGGAACAGAGCCCAAAAATTTAGCTACTTCCTTCCAAAAAGGGAAGCAACGACTACTAACTAACTAACTTCTTCAAAGAAGGTGGAAGTAGAGCAATTTTTAAAGCAAGTGGGCACTATGAAAGGTCAAGAGGAGACAAAATGCCCAGGTCCACTTGGTTAGCTTTTGCTACCTACTGGTTACTTGCTGCATGTATAGAGAAGGGTGTGGGGTTTTTACATATATAACGCAAATAAGGTTTACATCTGATTCACATTCTTTTTTCTTTCCTCCCAGTGTTCTGAAAGTTTACTTGTTCATACACTCAGCGTTGCTCCGGGCCAGTGTCAACCACCCCGAATACTAGGGAAACCAAAGCATAAAGAGGTGCAGCTGCAATGGGGTATGTTGTAAGGACTTGGCATGGAATGATTAAGGATTATGGTAGAGCAAATGATTGTCACTAGAGGCTTGTGGTTTTCCGCAGAAAAGGAATGTGCGAGAGATTTCATAATCATTTCTAGGAGTGTTAAGACATTTCCAAGTTTGTTCCTAAGGAGGTTTTTCCTTTTCAAATCGCTACATTAATGCTTTGCTCTGCAGACTGAGATTAAAGCATTAGATCTTTAAAGTAATCTGGTTTCCTCTTCTTTTAAAGATTTTCTCCCTCCAAAATAGTTGTTTTAACTAAAGGGTACATTCAAAAAAAAAGTCAGCGCCCATTACAGACAATTAAGTTATCAACCACACAAGACACTCAGTGTGTTTTAGCAGTTTTTAGTTGACTCAGAATGCTGTTTAAATTAAAGATGAAACCAAGATTTGAGTTAATGGGGGATAAATAGCCCAGAGCACTGTGTCTTCACTAATTGGGCAGAATAGAGATCCAAAGTATTGTAGAATAGGTGAGGCAGAAAGAGATAAGGGAATGTTTCTTTACTCGGAAGAGGTATTCCACTAGTATCTCTCAGGGGAAAGGGGCAATACTGCTCTATACCTGTAGGGAGTTGTAAAATTGCAGCTTTAATGCACGTGCCAACTTCAACGGATATATACCTGTTTTTCTTCTTTTAACAGAAGATTAACTGAAGTAACAGTTTATTAAAAAGTGCTTTAAAACTCTTATATCTTAATTCTGTCCATATTCATAGGAAGCAAATCCCACTAATTTTATTGAGATTTATTTCTGAAGTAATTATGCATACAGTTGCATCTTTACTCATATAAAAGGTATATTTTACAGTATTTAATATGAAAAGATAATGTCAAATTTGATAAGGGTGAGCAGATTATTCAAGTTAGTGTTTGTGTTTCTGTCCACATATGCACATAACATAACAAAACATTGTTGTTTAGTCTATTCTTCAGAAGAGTGTGTTTGTACATATACACACCAAAACACAGTGGCCAAAATCCTGTTGCTTAGCATAGTAAATTGCACTAGAGCAGCCCCGCTGAATCAATGAGGATTTTGTGAGCTAACTTCTCCAATGAGGATTTTGTGAGCTAACTTTATCCTGTTAAAGCAAGTAACTTGCTTTAACAGGATTTTGACCAGTATATCAAACACTTGCAAATTGTTCAATCAATTTTTCCATGTGTATGTATGTATGTATACATGTAAGTATGTACATAGGTACTTATGTACACTCACATGCATACATGCAGCCTGGGAGGTTGAGTATAAAAGGGGAAGAGTTGGCTGTTTTGATCACCACTTCAAGGAGACATGGGGGCAGGGCATATGTGATGAAGTGAATGGGAACAGAGATCTTGGGTGAAAGACAAGGTCTTGTGGAATCAACCAGTGGGAATATGGGCTGAGTGGGTTAGAGATGGCCTTCAGAATCCCTGTGTTCTCAGCCAGGGTCCAAAGGGCGGAATTGTGTGGTGACCAGGTGAGAACTGAGCACCTTGAGTGTCTGGAGGTTAGATAGTGTAATGATGACCAGAGAAATGCCCTAATGTAGCTGCTGGTCTAAAAGGAACTAAACATACCTTGCTGTGTTCCATGCAGTTCTATGTGGCTTCTCCTGAAATTGTTGTTATACTTGATGGGGAATGTTATAGTAACCTGCTATGCTTTTTACACTTGCTGCTCATCCAATACCTATATATGTGCCTGGTTGAATTTCAGATGAGGGGAGGGAATTGGGGTGCTCCTATTGTGTTATATCAAGCAGAGGGAGATAGAGTGCTAGAGGTTAGACATGCTGAGTGAGGGAAAGACAGCATAGATGCTTGAGATCTGTCTCATGTTTTGGTCTTTCCACCATCCCTCAAGATCAGGTTGTTCTGTCATTCCACACTCCAGTCTGCTGGTACTGCTGCTGAATGCCAGATCAGGCCATAATAAGATACTCACCATCCATGATTTGTGGATGTAAGGACTGGCCTGGTGTGTATTACTGAGACCTGAGTGGATGAGCTGGGGTGTATGTGCTGTCTTAGCTCTTTCTCCCTGGATACTTGATCCAGTGCTAGTCTAGACTGGAGGGCCAGGGAGGAGCAGTTCCATCATCCATAAGGACTCCATCTCTCACACAAGGAAAACTATCCCTCCTGGCATCTGTTTTGATGGCCTGTTGATCTCTAGGGATGGATAACCTTCATGACTGTTGCTTTTGGAGAACATCGGCATCCACACTGAAGCAACCCTGACAGTTCCTGCTCAGAATTTCCATCAGGCTCTCCTAGTTGGCAAGCTAGAGCCCTTAAGTGTTTTGGAATACAATTCTTATCCATCCCATCCAGAAGGACAGAAATGTTTTTCCTTTTGGACAACAATTCACAGAATCTCCACAGCTAACACAGCTGGATGGGAAATTCTGGGAGTTGTTGCCAATGATGATGTTTTTGAGCTCTGTTCCCAGGAAATACAGTGGTGCCTCGCAAGATGAATTTAATTCATTAATGTTGTTTTGCGAAAAATTAATCTTGCGAAACGCGTTTTCCCATAGGAATGCATTGAAATCTAATTAATGCGTTCCTGTGGGCAAAAAAGTCAGAACAAAGTCAAATTTGGTTTACAAAGGGTTTAAGTGCTTTTTAAAGTCATACATATTGTGCAGACGATTTCAAGAATTTCAATCAAAAAACTTTAACTTTTTAAACATCATAGAAAAACATTTAAAAATCAGCAAACATGAGGCAGGAAAAAAAATGGAAAACATTTGTCTTGCGAAGCACGGCCATAGAAACATTCATCTTGTGAGTCATCAACCCCATCGCCAAAATCATTCGGCTTGCGAGTTTTTCATCCCTCTTGCGAGGCACCACTGTATAGCCAGTACACAGAAATTATAGGAACCTCAAATATGGAATTCCTGAAGGGCATCAGCTTATTTACCTGTGACCTAGACCATCTCCCTCAGTTTTGGCTCTTCCTGCAGGAACACCTCATGATCAGAACCGCAACAAAAATGTTTGGTGTTGTATTCCCCATACCTTTGGCCATTGTGATGCCCACTTGCAACCTTAGTGTTCATGCTGATCTTTTTGTGACACCTCTTTCCAGATGCTCCCCCTGTATCAGAAAGTAGTTGTCATATCTCTGCCTATAGCATGGAAATGACTGGACCGGAAGAATCAGCAGCGTCGGAGGTATATCATGGTCCCAACCTGGAGTGCACTGTCAGCAATCTCCTGCCTGGCACAACGTATCACTTCAGAGTGAGAGCTTTGAATGATGGAGGGGTAAGGGATCCAGCCTTGTTTCTATAGTTTTACCTTTGAGGAAGCCACAGCAGAAACTGCAGTGATGTCAAGGATATATAAAATCATGATGTTGTTATCTTGCCTTTCTTTCAAGGGGCTCAAGGTAGCCTATGTTGCACGTTCCCCTCAACCCCTCACCGCCTGTTTTCCTTTGTGTAACCACCCTGTGAGGTAGATCATGATAAGAAAAAATGAAACTGGGCCACAGAGACTGAGTGAGCTTCATGGCTTGATTTTAACTTGATTTCTCCTGAACCACAGCAACATACTGACTCTCTTCCTCCGTATCTTGCAAACAGTGGCCAGAATACTTTTGGGAACTCACATATACATAGGGAAAACTGTGCAAATAGCTTTTACAACTTTCTGGCTGTTTGCTGTGTGTCAACCAAATACAGAACTGAATGCATGATCTGTCACATGACAGATAACCAAAATAATCATGCACACAATCCTGGGTTTGCTCTGTGTAAACCTAACAGAATTCTGGCCACTGTCATACATAACAGGCTGCAGGCTGCTTGACTGCTTCTGTCATCACCTGACTTTACTGCGGGAATGTCACAGGCCTTTGGCATACAGGCTAGCCTGCTGTTGAAAGGACTCTAATTGATTGTTGCTGGCTATATGTGGCACTGTTTTGTTTTTTATTATGTTTTTTATTTATTCCTGTCCATATTGCATCAATATTTTGTTTTCAGTCTGTGTTTCATTATTGTTAGCTGTCTTGAGCCCCCATTTTTGTTGGAAATGTGGCATGAAAATTGATTAAATAAATCTGGTTGGATGAGAGGTTTTTGCAACCTGCAGAATAAATCAGAAGGAAAATGAGGAAAACCTTAAACCAGGGCCATTAATTTAGGTGTGAAATTACTTCCATTTGTGGATTTACTAAGAGAAGTCATTGAGGGCTAGCACGATATATGTTTTAGTATTATTAAATACATGTGTAACAGTGTTCTATATGTGTGCTGTTATTTGTAAATGTGTTTTCCAGTGTGTGCCACTGGAAGTGTCAAAAATGCATAGTCTGCAAGTACATTAGGACCCCCATATCAGCAGGACTGATATCCACAGTTTCACTTAGCCATGGTCTGAAAATAGGTCCTACTGTATGCGATAACATGGACAGTTCATCATGCAGCTGGCAGGGATAGTGATGTCTGAAATGGTGAAATTATACCTTTGAATGTTTGAAGTTGCTGGTTTGTGTTTGCCTGGATTCTCTGGTGCGTATTTATGTTTCAGACATAGACCAGATGGGCGGGATACAAATCAAATCAAATCAAATCAAATCAATCAATCAATCAGTCAGTCAGTCAGTTAGTCAGTCAGTCAGTCAATCAATCAATCAATATTGGACATTCACTGTGATGAATGTATAGATACATGTAGATGTAGATATCCAATAAATAAATAAATAAATAAATATTGGACATTCACTGTGATGAATCTATAGATACATGTAGATGTAGATATTAATTTATAGTATGTAGTGTGTATTTACATATGTATTTTCTCCTCCATAGTTTGGGCCTTACTCTGAAGCCACAAAAATCACAACAACTGCTGGGCCTCCCAGGCAATGTAGACCTCCTTGCATCAATTTCCTTTCAGACACGAGTGTACTTGTAACCTGGGAGGTAAGCAGCGGTCTTTTTCTTTTCCATAGGTTTCCCCCCACCTTAAATAAACTAAGCTAGGAATATCCATCTTCAGAATGAATCTTGGTGTGATCACAGTGAAATATATCCTTCTGGGTTTTTTTGGCCTTCTCCCATCCAAGTAATAACTGGGCCTGACCTTAGTTAGTTCCAGACAGCAGAAGCGATTCAGCGTGCTCAATGTGATGTCAGGAAGCAGCAACATTGAAGTATCCCTACTTCTGCTCCAGTCCAGTCTCGGGCGGCTTAAAACTGTGTTACTTAAGCTAGACTGAGTTTCCTTAGATATCAGCTTCTTGCTGAATTTCTCTGAGGAGTTTCACATCTTTGTAGTTTTTGAACTCTCCTAATGCATAACTGGAGCTGCAACCCCAGCCATCCAGCTGATTCAAATATGGACAGCCATGAAGATCTCTCCCTTTTTTCCCCAAAGTTCTTTCCTTTCGTTGTATTCTCGAAAAACCTACAACAACCCTTCTTTCCTTTCTATTAACCCTGGATAAAGACCTTCTTCGGTACTATCATGGCTGAACATTCTGTATATGTCTTGCAGAGTCCAGATAGTTTCGGTGCTGACATCTCAGAGTATAGACTGGAGTGGGGAGAAGAGCAAGAGTCTTTAGAACTGGTGTATAGTGGAACAGGGAACTCCTTTGAAATTGGTCAGTTGTCAGCCGCAGCACACTATTTCTGCAGACTGCAGGTAAGTCAAGTCCCTTTGCTTTGGTTCTGGTGCAAAATGAGATGAGGCATAATGTAATTTACTTTTATAAGCTGACGGAAATGATGTGGGAGTTGTGATATGAAAATAATGATCTGGGCAGAACTTGGAAATATTTATATATTAGGACTACAGCGCCTAGAAAACCTCACTTAGCATGGTCTGTGATTATGCTAATGCGAGGGAGGGGTGTGAATTTGGTTCTGGGAGCTATAAGCCAAATAAGTGATGGGGTTCGGGTAGGGGTTTGGGTCGATTTACAAGAGAATTCTAGACATCTAGGATCAACAGCCAAGGTGTTGTCGCGGATAGAGTGACCAATTAGTACTCAGGAAATCTGGGTTTGAATTTTTGCTGAGCCATTGAAACTTGCTGGGTGGTGGCACTGATAAAACAAATTCTTAAATATCTCGTATATCTTGGAATTCCTATCAAGGTTGCTCTAAGTCAGATGTGACTTGATGACATATAACATAACGACATATTACATTCTAAGCTTTCATTCCAATGGATTGTCATAGAAATGAAGGGCTTTTGAGACATCAAAATGATTGTATTATTATAAATCTTCTAAGAATCTCAGTTGACTGCATATTTTAAATGGACCAAGTGTAGAGGCAAACCCACCCACCTCCCGTAAATGAAGCTCTCTCATGCAGAATGCATAACATTTATTCCTTAAATAAACAGGGAGCAACACAAGGCTATGGGACCAAACTTCTGTCCAGCTGAAGCTTTGACCAACCTTTTAAAGCAAGAGCAGTCATGGAAGAGCCCTATTGGGTACAGAGTGACTGAGGAGACAAAGCAGGAGAGGGAGAAAAATTCAGAATCCCTCTCTTGAACTTGTCCATCTACTCTTTATTTTGTGGTTGTCCGGAGTGACTGAGGAGACAAAGCAGGAGAGGGAGAAAAATTCAGAATCCTTCTCTTGAACTTCTCCATCCACTCTTATTTTGCGGTTGTTCATGGGAATGGTTTCTAGCCCTCTTTTGTCTTGGCTAACATGACATAGCATTACAGCCAGTAGCAGGGATGAGCAATTTTGATGGAGATGGGGTCCAAATTTTCATTTTCAGAACCCACCCCAGAGGGCTGAAACAAGATCAGACCGTTGTTTTGGTTTTGTTTTTTAATTAGTGGTAGTGACTGATCATCCTTTTCCACTTTAGATTTGAGGGGTAGTCCGTGATGGGACTCAGCACATTCCCCAGTTCTGGAGATGTCCAGGAATAGTCAAAACACCCTTTTATACTTAGAAAAAGAAATTCCATTGTGGGGGAAATCAATTCCTCTGTATCCAAAAGAAAATAGTCTTGGGTTTGCATGCAGTCTGTAGGCTGTGCTTTCCCCGTCATGGCCCATCATAAGAAAATAGTCTTGGGTTTGCATGCAGTCTGCAGGCTGTGCTTTCCCCGTCACAGTCTAGTAAGAAGCAAAGTGGCAAGAGAGGGCCTTGGGTACCTGTGGCCCTTCACATATTGCTGAATTTCAGTTCAATGAGCCCATCATAATAGAAGATGAGAGTTGTGGTCAAACAACATCTGGAAGGCAATGCATTTCCTACTCCTTGATAACTTTATATGGTTGGAAAAAGAGATATATTATCTTTATTTTAAGAGCAAAGTCTGAGTCACAGGTATAAACATTATCTCCAAACTGTTGTCTTCTGAACTGAGAGAAAATTATTGTGTCACTTAAACTAGTGGAAAGTAAAGCTGGCTTGCTGTGCAAGGGGCAAATGAAGCTTCCATCAGTTACGATAAGGAAACTGTCCAATAAGGGTGGGAGGAAGCATGAGTAGCATTACCACAGATCCCTTCAAGCAAGATTTTTCTGAAACAGAAGAAATGCAAACAAACATAGCACAGTTCACAACAGAAAATCACTTTAACAGCTAGATGGATTTTTCAAAAATAATCTCCCTGATTCAAGTTGATTTTTGTGTTGCGGTGTTCTTTTTTTTTAAAATGCCATTGCAAGGCTAAAATAAATGCTATTGTCTTCTTGTGCAAACACTGAAAAACAACAAAATAAGAATGAATGTCTCTTTCCCAGACTATGATTTTGTAGCTGAAGGTAGGCAGAGATCATAATTTTTTATAAAACGGGGCAAGGAGGGCCATGTGTCTCTTCTACTGTCTTCTGTTGCAAAAATTACATATCTCCTTTGTGAAAGGAAGATGAGAGCTCTTTACTGAAAGTTCTTATGAATGGCATTAGTGAATTTGGTCTACTAGATCCTCAAGTCAGAAGTTATGGATGCTATCAAAGATCATCCCTTACAGGGAGAGGGGGAAACAGCTAGAGCAGTGGCTCCCAAACGTTGGTCCCCAGATATTCTTGGACTTCAACTCCAAGAAGTCCTGGCCGGCACAGCTAGCGGTAAAGGCTTCTAGGAGTTTTAGTCCAAGAGCATCTGGGGAACCTAGGTTGGGAAGTCTGAGAACTGTGTTTATATTACACCAGCATCAGGCCAAGATAATCAGCAACTTCAAGGAAAATCTAAATGTTGTCAGCTGACATTCTCCTGGTGAACACTTCCTCTTCCAAATGCTCAAAATCTGAGTGCCCAGGAAAAGAAGGTTGCTACCCTCTCTCCATTCGCTGTCTTTAGCAAATATAGGAATTATGCAAGAGGCAGAAGGATGCTTATCTTTCTTCAGCCCTCCTTCTGGCTCTTTTCCCCCCCTTCATAGTTCCCCAGGAGAAAACATGCTTGATCCAGTGGATTTGGCAGTGAGGGATCTACTTTGTCCACAGTATCCTAATGATATAAAGCACTCTTCCTCAACCTGGTGCTCTATGCTGAGGGTTATGTGGTCGGGGAAAATGTTGAAGGTTATTGTCCAAAATCAGAGTGCACAAGATGCTTTGATTGTATTCCCGCATTGAGCAGGGGGTTGGACTTGATGGCCTTGTAGGGCCCTTCCAACTTCACTTTTCTCTGATTCTAAGATTAAGGAAGGTTGGACTAGGAATATAATTCTTACGTCAGATACAAAAATTCTCAGACGAGCCTCACAATAGGTATTTGGAAGTCTAAGTCACTTAGATATTACAGATTCTGCTGTGTAGGAACAGACTATAAATGCCAGCTTTCTTTTTTTTAAGGGCTAGAATAATCATGCTTCATTATTGATTCCTCCTGTATTAATAGATGAATATTAGTAAATGTTAAGTAGAGAGAATGATGGGGAAAAGTTTGTTTAAAGATGTGAAGGTCATTATATGATGAAAGCATGACTTCTCAAGTGGTGTATTGACATTTTAGCTCGTGTGCACTAAAGGACATTAAATAGTTATCCATTTTTGTTGGTTTGGTGTGACTGATTTTACAGCACACTTCACAGTCGTAAGTATGTGGCCTGACAGTGCCAATGGCTGAGTGGGCGTGATCTGCATGTGAGCTAATGGAAATGCATCTTTTATTCTCCAGGCAATAAATCAAGCAGGAGCAGGACCTTACAGTGACCTTGTCACCTGCAGAGCCCCAGCATCTATACCTGATGCTGTCACCACCCTCTTTGTCTCTGAAGATGAGCACGTGGATGCCTATCCACTATCACCCTTTGTGTGCCTTGTATTGAACTGGGAAGAACCGTGCAATAATGGGTCTGAGATTACTTCTTACAACATTGATCTTGGCGATGTTATCATTCCAGTGGGTAATGTCACGAGTTATGTTATTAATGACCTGCTTCCAGAAACCACATTCCGGTAAGTGTAATTTAAAATGATTGCTTTCTTCATTGGAGTTTGAGAAGCTTGCATTTCATTACAAGGAATTTTAATAGATTGTTTTGCAGAAAATGCTAGACAGTAATTTAGTCTGTAAAGCAACAGATCTTTTGGAAACCTGTTAGGAACCCCAGTTAATGAATAAGGAGCAAATATTAATCTATAGTTAAAATACATAGATAAATGTACTCATTGAATTTCTGGAATCTAATGTCTTGCACTTTTTATATAGGAAAACCTAAACCTAGTTATAAAGCCAGAAACTACTTTGCAGTGGGCTCTTACTGCCATAAGGATATACTTCCTTTTTTTGCACTTTTTATATAGGAAAACCTAAACCTTGTTATAAAGCCAGAAACTACAGTACTTTGCAGTGGTTATAAGGATATACTTCCTTTTTAACCATTAGAATGGCTTTTTACAGGATCTGACTTCTTCTGTCCCTAGTGCTGCTCTGCCAGTGAAGACATGTTAGTGGAGAAAATCCAAATGATACCTACTTACCACCAGTGCAGTAGACTTCAAGCTTGGGGCTACATCTCCAAAAATACCCAGCCAGAACAGCCACTGGAATCTTGTGGTATCCCACCACCACCACCCCAGCCATGACAGCTAGGAAATGTGGTTACCCCAAAGTAACTTTTAGAAATTCTGATGATGGCCCAGAAATGTGGTCAGTTGCAATAAATCTCCTTGGCAATCATTTGCTCCTGGTGCCCAGTTCTCTCCCCTTCCTCTCCCCTTTGACATGGTCCCCATCTCACCATGATAAAATGGTAGGTCCAAGCCTGTCTCTCGGCTGTTTCCACTGGTAGCATGCAAGGGGCCTTCAATGATTGTGCGTTGTAGCTGGGATGTGTGTAAATGTTGTAAATAGAGAAGAAGCATCTTGTTTCTTTTGCATCATTATTGCCATGCATTCAGTGGTGAAACATGTTGACTGGACTCATGTTACTTAGTGTAGTGAGTTGCACTAGAGTAGACCCATTGGATCAGTGGGGATTTGGTGAGTCTGTTCCTCAGATACAGATAGATCTACTCTAGTTGCCACTTACCACCCTAAGCCACAAAATTTCAGTGTTAGAAAAAAGGAGCTGTGTAACCCATGAGTAGTACCATGTACAAAACCAACATTTGGGGTTGAATAATACTTTTTGGATCAGTTATACACAAAGTGAGTTTGCAAGAACTCCAGAATTCTTCATGAAGCAAATATAGTTATTTATTTAAGTGATATATCTCCTGCTTAGCGAACTGATACTCTGGGAGGGGTGTACAATAGAAATGGGAAATATATATATTTCCCATTTCTATTGTACACCCCTCCCAGAGTGAGATAGAGAGAGTATAAAACATAGAAAAAATAGCTATAAAATAAAGTATAGTATAAGTATACAATGTGTAGTATAAGCTTTACATAGCATAATGTTTCAGAGTGGGAAGAAAGCAAGTAGTAAAAAAGAGGGGGCAAATGGTGATGCCCATTGTTCTTGAATGTAGACTGCTAGCAAGATAAGATGGAGTTGACAGATTTCAGTATGAAACAAAGGCATTGTTTTTATGGATATCTCCTCTCTCTGTCAACAAAAAGCCTGATTGGAACCCATGTAGATATGTTCAATAGCAATAAACTTTGTCATTTTACTGGAGTTAAGAATTAGTATCTGTTCCTTAAGTGTTTGTTCTGGTGCAAAAGGCTGCAGGATCCTTCTCATAACTGTTACTGCAGTGTGACAATGGAACCAGTTTTTGGATAAGGCGGTGAGGGCTCCAACACCGGAGGTATTCAAGCGAAAGTTAGATAGCCATCTGTCAAATAGACTTTGATTTAGATTCCTTCCTTGAGCAGGGGGTTGGACTTGATGGCCTTATAGGCACCCTTCCAATTCCATTATTTTATGATTCTATGATAAGTAGCCTTAAAATGTCTCACTAATGATTAACAGTCATTTATTTATACAATGCTTTGGCTTTATTTTTATTTTTTTGCTTTGAATTGCTTGAAAACAACAGCTATTATATCATAAATCGACAAAGATTAAACAAAATACGATGTACACCCTAAAAATAGGAAACAATTAAATGTTTCCAGAGTAGAACGATGCTTCATAGTGCTGTACAGTATGCTCATTTTTCAGATCTTGAGCAAAAGGCATTAAGTGTGCATATTTGTTAATATGCCTGTGGTGATGAATAGGCTGCTTTACTTGCCAATGATTATAATTCTCTGTGGGTGCCTAAAAAATTATTTTAGTTTAGGAATGAAAGTAGGTGAAGGGTCAGGTGGCAAAAGTAATCCTGAAATTCTAAAACTGCTCAAAGTCATCCTGTCCTCAGGCCTCTGTTATAATGGCTCTTAAATTCAAATTAGTTTTAATAACAGAAGGGAACAGGGTAGTGCACACAGAATTCATTATTGGCAGTTATTGTCTATTAGTCACTTGCTGTCTGCTTCATGACCTTTATCAGGTTTGATCAAATGTCATCCTAAGGTTATCCAAAGAGTTCATAGTTGATTAGAAATATGAACCTCACAATCCCTGGTTCAAGTCCAAGGGAGTCTGCATCCAGTGTCTCCCAGTGGACTGTCTGGGCCACACAAAACTAAGGCACAAGCCATTGATTGCTACTATTATACAGTCCTCATGCACCAAGTGTTAAAAATATATTGCTGGCACTGATTATTCAAAAGGTTCCAAGATACAAACAAATAAATCATTGTGGTAGGCAGGTGCTTGAAAGATGGACCATTAGCCATAAATTATTCAAAAGGTTCCAAGATACAAACAAATAAATCATTGTGGTAGGTGTGCTTGAAAGATGGGCCATTAGCCATAAAACCCTGTTTCTCTGAAAATAAGACCTAATCTGATAATAAGTCCCAGTATGATTTTTCAGAATGAGGCCTTATAGGCACCCTCCCATAAAACCCGCCCCAGTTAAGTGAAACCCTGCCCTCCACCATTGTGCAACAACCAGAAGATGACATGACTATATTTGAATATAGATTGTTGTACATGAAAAAAATAAAGCATCCCCTGAAAATAAGCCCTAATGTGTTTTTTGGAGTAAAAATTAATATAAGACCCTGTCTTATTTTCGGGGAAACACGGTAGCTAAATGGAAGCATTATGTCTAGATGGTGTGCATATCATTTGGTAGGTCAGGAAGGCAAACAGTGGTGGATGGGTGCTGCCTATATGTCCTGCTCATGGGACTTGCGGAGGCATCAACTGCAGGGCTGGCCCAACTGTTGTGTAGGGTGAGGCAGCAGCCTCTGGCAGCAGGTGTGTGTGTAGGGGGGAGAGATGTTCCTCTCGAGCCTCTTGGTCATTCTTTTTCACTCAGAAGACAGAGTGATCCAAACAGACTGTCCCAAAATTCATTTGTTGTCCTCAGGTATGGTGGAGGATCATATCCCATTACCATTGCGGAAGTAAAATTTTGATTGCCAGTTCAATCAGCTTGTGTACATGGGATAGGATGGACACCATCTGGCCCTCTGAGTAGGCAGCTCTGATCTTGATGTACCTTTAGCCCAATTTAGCAGGGCATTTTTACAGTGATTCCTGGTGCCTCAGCATAGTTTGTGAGGTCCATGGACAACATTGTTGTTGTTGTTGTTTAGTCGTTTACTCATGTCCAACTCTTTGTGACTCCATGGACCAGAGCACGCCAGGCCCCCCATCTTCCACTGCCGGATTTGGGTCACATTCATGTTGGTTGCTTCGATGACACTGTCCAACCATCTCATCCTCTGTCGTCCCCCTCTTCTCTTGCCGTCACACTTTCCCAACATCAGCGTTTTTTCCAGGGAGTCTTCTCTTCTCATGAGATGGCCAAAGTACTGGAGCCTCAGCTTCAGGATCTGTCCTTCCAGTGAGCACTCATGGTTGATTTCCTTTAGAATGGATAGGTTTGTTCTCCTTGCAGTCCAGGGGACTCTCAAGAGTTTCCTCCAGCACCACAATTCAAAAGCATCAATTCTTTGGCGATCAGCTTTCTATATGGTCCAGCTCTCACTTCCGAACATTAGGAAAGGGTTTCTGGCATAACACTGCTGCTGCATTATTTTTCTTGTCTGCAGTACAAGAAGTACAATGCCACAGTCAATTCAAGCAAGCCAAAACTGTGGTAGAATTAGGTTACTCAACATCTGCTGGATGATTGGCCTTTATCTAATTGCTACACCAGCTAGAGTAGCCCATCGAGTCAATATAATTTACGCAATAATTCATTTTATTGTTCAGTAATTGACTTAGCAGATGTACTCTAGTTAGGTGTCACATCCTAACATGTTGGTTTTCTTTTATCAGTTTGTCATATGTTGATACCAGTGCTGGACTTGGCTCCTTGGATTGTCCATTTTTACCAGTGCTGGACTTGGCTCCTTGGATTGCCCATTTTGATGGATATTGTTGGTCTTGTTGTTGATGATGCTGATGCTGATGCTGATGATGATGATAATCCATCAAATCAGTTCTGACTCATCATGACCAATTTTGGGGTTTTCCGATGCTGATGCTGATGCTGATGATGATGATAATCATAACCATAATCATAATCCATCAAATCAGTTCTGACTTATCATGACCAATTTTGGGGTTTTCCAGGTCCTCAGAAGTGGTTTAACATTCCCTTCTTATGCGGGCATTCTAAGACTGTGCAGCTTACCCAAGGCTATGCCGGCTGGCTCTATTCACAGGAGGCGCAGTGGGGAATCAAACTCCCAAACTCTGGCTCTGCAGCCAGATACTTTGGGTCCTTATGGAGAGAAAGGCAGGGTAACAATATTTAAAATAAAATGAATGAATCGGTGAATGAACCCTTGAGCTGGTAACTGCTATCCCAATATTCTGAGATGAGGATTGTCACGAGGAGGGAAAGTAGTGGAGTTTTTTTGCTTCCCATTATGATCCATTTGTCTGTCTTCTTCCCATATAACCAGAGTACAGAAGCCCAAGCTTGTTTTATGAAGAGACATAAAATTAGCTTTCTACACTCATATGTGTTCCAGATTTGAAGATTAAGAAAATTCCAAAATCCAGCACACAACATGAACTAGAGAAGCCACAGGGTGAAATCCAATTGTTAGTTCCAACTGGAGGAGACCTATTGAGACGGTGGATGATTTAGCAATGTTCATTCATCCAGTGGGTCTCCTCTACGTGGAAATAACAGCAGGATATAATCCTTAACATGTGTGTTTCCTTATTTATTGGCCAAAATCCTCTTGCCATTTTGTGTTGGTGTGATGTCAGCAGAGCAACTTTAGGCAGTGAATTCTCGAAGGCTTTCACGACCCGGGATCCGATGGTAGTTCTAGGTTTTTCAGGCTGTTTGTCTGTGTTACGAAGGGATCTACAACCATTTAGGCAGTAAATTGCTGCAAGCTAAGAAGCTAGTGGTAACATTGCCTGTTGAGTGCCAAGTCTATTTAGTTTTCTTCCATTAAATTCATTTGATAAATTTCTATCCCAAACTTCAGATAAGCTTTCCAAGAAGTCCATAAAATGTAGAAACAACAATGAAAGCAAGGAGCATTGAAGGGTGGATGGAGTAACAAAACCCATTTTAATGGAGTATATATAGATAGTTATAAAACCAGCAATTTTTTGTTTGGCCATCCTTGACCTGGGGGGGGGGGCTTTAAACCAATATGTCTAAAATATGGCAAGACTTCAGTGTAAAATCATCACCTGTTTCATATTAGATTGATAACCGGTGTACTGTATATAGTTTAAGTCCTCTTCTATAGCCTTCCAAAACCCACAAGATCTCTTTCTCTTTGTGTTGCCACCTGCTTTCCCCTACAACTTCAGCTGATTCTGTGTACCTAATGAACTGCTTACTCCTGGAAATTTACAGCAGCCTCATGTGCCATTAACATTTTGAGCTAGCCCTACATGAATGATGGGCTACTTTAAATGACTGGGGAAAGCAGTATAACCTTGTCACTGCCAAGAGTCATCAGATGGAGTGTTTTGGCTGCTTTGGATAGAGGAGAAGCATCTTCCGTCCATTAAAGAAAGCAAAATGTCTAATTGGGCAGTTAATCAGTATTATCAGGGTCTTTTTGCTTCCCAATAAACAAAACTTTGGGCCAACTTAATAAGTGTCAAAATGGATGCTGCTTTCTCTGGCTAAGCATCTCTCAGTGATTAGGTTGCTGATTGTTGACAGCACCCAACAAAATATGGAGGTGTCCAGAAGAAGAAGAAAAACGTGCTTCATTGCTTCCAAGTAGCTTGATCTTCCAACATCCACGTGTTAATTGCCCTTGCAGTTCGAGACAGCAAAAATAATGACATTTTGGTACATGAGGCAAACAGAATGCAAAACAAAACAGACCTCCAGGTAGTAGCTTCCCTCTGACTTCCAAAGGTGAGGAATATGGATATTGACTTGATATTGTCTTGGATATTGACCAGAGTATACAAATGAATTGCTGGATAGCTCAGTGGTTTAGGTATCTGGCTGTGGAGACAGAGTTTGGTAGCTTGGATGACATTTTGGTACATGAGGCAAACAGAATGCAAAACAAAACAGACCTCCAGGTAGTAGCTTCCCTCTGACTTCCAAAGGTGAGGAATATGGATATTGACTTGATATTGTCTTGGATATTGACCAGAGTATACAAATGAATTGCTGGATAGCTCAGTGGTTTAGGTATCTGGCTGTGGAGACAGCGTTTGGTAGTTTGGTTCCCCACTTTGCCTTCTTGTCAGAGGCTGAACTTCATGATCCGTAAGGTCTCTTCAAGCTATGATTATTTTTGTGATTAACTGGTACATAGGAGATTGCATGGTCCTTCAGATATCCTAGTTTAAAGTTGTTTATGCCATTAAAATTAGCACTACAATGTATTGGGCACAGAAACATATAGCTAGCAAAAGATAGATAGATTTGATAGATATGTTATGTAGAGCGACTGCAAATTTCGACTACTATGTTTTCCAACCAGCTGGAATGCCGTCTCATCAATGGCTGTGGCCATGTCAGTTTTCTTCAGCTTGAGAATGTATACAAAGAAGTTTCTGTTGCTAATTATGGACCGTACTTCCATTGGAAGTGTAATTCTCATGAATGGATCGGGTGTTTTACAGAAGTGAAAGGGGAAAGAAATCACTTATTCTTTCTTTGATTACAGTTTCAACTTCAGGTTCTGTATGTAAAAGACACGAGCACCTTTTACATTATGTACATGATTCAGAAGCATAGTAAAGAAGAGTGTGAATCACTCAGGTTTGCCATTCAAACCAGCCCTCTCTGAATGAGGGGTGCCTCCACAGAGTTAAAGATGGTTGCTAGGGAAACATATGAGGTCCTTATTCACTTTAACCATTACCAAAGACCTGTTTTCTTGCATTTGCTGTGATTGAGCTTAGAGGGACATAGATTTGAAGGGAAAGGTTGGGATCAAAGAACTTGTATTAAGGCAGTCTGTTGGCATAATGAGAGTTATTTCTTTCTTTCATGTACCTTTCCTTCTTTAATGTAATTCAGTCCTAAAACACGTTGAATAGCCTTTTCTAGGGGCTATTGGATAAGCAGCAAACTCTGCTGGAGTTATCCAGTATTTTTGTTTGAAAGCAGAATGTAAAAAGTAACAAATAATGATGCAGGGATCATGTATATTTAGGCTAGCCAAGTCTGCCATCTGTCTGTGCTAACTTTATATTATGTAGGCCATGCAGTAATGGTCAGCTCCGTTTAACAGTGGCTAGCTCCTGTTGTACTCCTTCCATTTGTTTTTGAAATGCAACGTCTATCCGGTTGGGTTACTGCAGATAATTATCAGCAAAGTGTAATTTCTGTCGAAGTAGGGCTCTTCAGCTGTTTTTGTCCTGTAGTTTGTTACATTTTATGAATGAAAAATTAGACCAAAGAGTACCAGCTAAATTTAAGCCAACGTTAAATTATACACACACACATCCTTTAAAAAGATACGTCTGAATGTTCCTTGCATATTTCTCACTTATGCAACAAGGCATGACTTTATGGTTCTTTTTGTACTATTTGAGTATGAGTAGGGAAATGAATTAACTTACAGAATAAGGTAGCTTTTAAAACTACTGCTTCTTTTCCACATATAGGATCCGGATTCAGGCTGTCAATGAGATTGGAGCGGGACCTTTTAGCCACTACATTAAGGCAAAGACAAGGCCATTGCCACCCTTACCTCCTCGGTTAGAGTGTACTGCAGCAGGTCCTCAAAGTCTGAAGCTGAAATGGGGGGAGAGCAGTTCCAAACAGCATGCCGCTGATGACATGGTGTACATCTTGCAGATAGAGGACAAAAATAAGAGGTAAGAGAGAATACATCACTGTTGCTGTCGTTTATCTGAAATACATCTTTCTGTGAGTCAGAAAAGAGGTGCTTAACTAATGTCTGCATCAAGGGGTCTATGACTCCATGGATTAGATGATTTGTATACAGTTTAATAGCTTCATCCTTTCCACTGGCACTTTGTTATTAGAGAGCCCTGCATTATTGATACAGAAACAGAGTTGATATTGAGTTTATATAAACAAACCAACAAAGAGTTTATATTAAGTCAAACCTTCTAGCCTTGTTTTATTAACATTCATTGGAAGCCAATTAAACCCTCCGGATTTTCATATAGGGCTTTTTCTGGATCTACCTGGAGATGCCATCAACTAAATTTGTGACCTTCTACACACAAAACATGTGCTTTGCACTGAACTTTCTGGTCTTTCCAAAGTTGGTGCAAGATTGTGAAGTCCTTTTTCTCTGTTTGTCCAAAAAGGTGGCTCTGAAAGCACTAAGGGGGTCATTTTTAATTCTTAACTGCAGAGTTATTTGAGAAGAGAAGGATGGAGGACGGGGAAGCTCAGGGCTTGGTCTAATAATACAGTGGTTCCAAAATGCGTGGCCATCTGAATGTTTTAGATTTCAAACATAAAGGACAACCATTTCTCACCCAGCCCACAAAATATAAAAATATAAAGATGTCAACACTCCTAAGAACCCAAGATGGTGGTAATGGACAAAATGTAAACTACACAATATAACCATAAATAAGATGAAATTACAAACAATTATAAAGGGAAGAATGTTTTAGATTTCAAACATAAAGGACAACTATTTCTCACCCAGCCCACAAAATATAATAATGTAAAGATGTCAACACTCCTAAGAACCCAAGATGGTGGTAATGGACAAAATGTAAACTACACAATATAACCATAAATAAGATGAAATTACAAACAATTATAAAGGGAAGATATCCTGTAATGCCTCCCTGAAAAGCAATGTTTCTGTATGCTTTCTGAATATTAGGAGGGAAGGGGTCTGGCACACCTCTACTGGTAAAGCATTCTACAATGAGATGACCACCAGAAAAACGGCCAAGCTCCTAGTCATAGACTTTATGGTCTCCCTCAGGGTAGCCACCTGCAGCATCAGAGCCTGAGAGGTGTTAGTGCCACCGGTAGTTGAACTCAGCGCGAGGTGTTCCACTTGCTTCTGAAGACAATATGGTGCCAGTTTTAAATAAATAAATATAACAGTCATGGAGGTACCAGCGAAGAACCTTCAGCACTATGTTATGGGAAAAGGAAAAGGTTGAGGCCTTGATGAGAGAAGAAGGTGCTGAATGGGCAGAAGCGCGTAGCCATTTATATCTGATAACAAGGTTGGTCTTAGAAGTAGACATAATGGTTTTGCAGCCATTTTGAAGCCATAATGGCTTCTTGCCCTTGACAACCTATTGTTTTCTTTCTAAAGAAACACTAGAAGGCATCCAGTTACTGTCAATCCCCACTGGAAAATCGTGACTAATAAAACACATGCTTAGTTGCAAAGCCATGCCTGACCATTTTTCGTTCCTTGCAGCAACGTGTAATTGAACAGAATTAAATTATATTTCTGCCTGGCAAGTTGTCTTGTCCCTACTTTAAACTGCTGTTTTTTAAAAAAAAAAAATTAAAAAATGGTAAGAGACAAGAAATATGACTGAAAGCTTCAGAGCAAATACAGAGCATTCATCTTTCTCTTTAAAGCAGGAGTGGACAACTCTGGAAAGTCTAGGGCCAGCTGTCCGCTCCTCCTCCAGACCCTCCATAGGCTTTCTTGCAAAATTGGAAGTCAGTGGGGCTAGTGTTGTAAAACCACTCTAAAAACCTTTCACTCTGGTATCAAAACTAGTCCGTACAGCATTAAATAAAAATGTGAAGAAAGAATGCTTCATTTAAGAACAGACTTTTAGGAGGCTTTGGTAGGAACAATTTCTACCTTTAGTAGGAGTGGGAGGGGGGAAATTCTCTTGGGGTCTCATGGGCCTACAAACCACATGATCCTCTCCCTTTCTTTGTGGCCTTGTCCACCTAGACCTCTGTCGAGTTGTGGTCTGTCTTGTCTTGTCTTTCATAATTTTCACTTACAGCAATTGTGGGAAAAGAACGTGTGGGAAGGGGAATTATGGAACTATTACCTGCGATTGCTCCTTGTGGACATCTATATTTCTAACCAATTCCCTGATTCTGTTAGGTATTTATGGTAATAATAAATATAGTAATATTGTCCCTTTTGTTATTGGTCGCCATTAGCCTATACTGTCAACAGTGACTGGCAGAAATTATCCAGGTTTTGTATTCCTCTTACTAAAATGCCTATTACAGTTCCTGGTGACCTTCTATAAGCAAAGCATATAGCTTTGATTCCTTCTTATATAGATTTGTGGAGCGGGGTGACTCTTAGTAGACCATTGAGTGGGCTTTTAAATCTTACTCCTCTCTGACAGCAACAGGGCTCAGCAGAAGGGCTTCTACAAGTGGATGTTTCGTTGATAGCAGAGCCTGCATTTGGGAACTTTCATTAACGAGGAAGCTTCAGAGGGTGGGCATACAGCAAATTTCTATCTGTTCTCAGTTTATTATACTCTCTCTAGGAAACCTATAATTGCATCTCTTGCTTCAGCTTTGTGTTGGTCTCGCTGGAAACAAGAGATCTGTCTCTTTGAAGCAGAAGGACACTGAGAAATTTTTCTCGTTGCCGAGTTTTGACTTTTCTGATAAAGTTCCTTTTGCTATGCAGTAGAAGTACAGAGACTCACAGGGAAGAATAGCTACAAGTTCCCCAGAGTCCACACCTTTCTCATTAATGGGCAATTAAGGTCTCAGTAACTCACTCTGAGAGAAGAAAGCAGAAAAGAAATTGGTTAACTTATAGTTGCTTGAAAATGTTATGTTGTGTATGCTTACCTGTGTATGCTGTGTTCTTTACTGAACTCATACTCAGCAACCAGGTGAACCGGTCAACAGCAAATAAACAACTTTCACCAACCCAGGAAAAAGGGGGAAAGAGCACTCAACAGATGGGCAAGGCTCTCTTTAAATTCAAAGGCTGGAAGGGACAATCGGTTAGTCCTGGATAGATAGATATGCAGTTACCTCTGCCCAGAAATGTCTCTTCTCAGTCACACAGACCACAGCCTGCAGGCAAGGTTGCAAACAAAACTCCCACATTTCTTTGGAGCTTGCATGATTTCTTCCATGTGAGCCTAGTGCTGAAAATAGGACAGACATTTTCTAGAGCATAAAAGGTTTACTTTTTTAAAAAGCAGGGGTCAAACAATTTAATCTTGATCTGTGGGGCTTCAATTTTTTATGACAGTTATTAGCCTTCATGTAAGTTTGACTTTTCTTGGAAGCTCACTGGCATTCCCAAGACCCCATCCTTAAGTGGTGCAGTTTAATTAGCTTGTTAATTATGGATTGCTCTGCCAGTTATTTCAAAGGTTCCTTGACTACATGGGAATAAAGTTAATGTGCACGACCTTTCACTCGCTGACTCACGGAAGTTTAAGATGCAAAGAAAGCCTGTGTGTAATTCATAGGTCAGCAGCAGCCCATTACCTGAGATTTCAGGGCCAAAACCTGAAATGAGGAAATGGACTCCTCCTGTCATAGGAGTAGACCCCTTTGATGTCACAAGCAGGACAGCGCAGAGTTGAGAGAGGGCCAGAACTACTTCTGGAAATAGACACACACCAGTCCACTCCTTGCCTTTCTCTAAACTACATGATGGGCACGTGGATGAACCAATGAGCTTTTCCCTAGGCCTTTCTCTTCAGTTCTGGCTTTTTGATATCCTGACATGGTACACACAATAGAGAGGCAGGCATCTTCATGGAGAGCCACTGAGCCCTGGGACCAGTTCAGGTGTAGCTGGAGATGCAAGTCTACTTTTCTATACAGCTTGGAAAGCTAGACACTTCACATATGAAATTTTAGCTCCAAACTTGCCAGAAAAATGTTATTGTTAAATAGTTGAATCACAATCAAAAGAGTTTACTTACAAAGGTTCCCTTGTGATGCTGGAGAGATGTGAAAGTTGGATACCACCTAGTAATGTCCTGGGCTTGGTGGTGTTCAGCATCTTTAGAAATGTCTTTGATGAGAGTGTGGAGGGGATGCTTATCAAATTGGCAGATGACACTAAACTTAGAGGGAGAGATGATACTCCAGAAGACAGAATCAAAGTTCAAAATGACCTAAACAAATTGGAGGACTGAGCCAAAACAAAGAAAATGCATTTAAACAGAGGGAAATTGTAAAGTTCTTCATTTAGGCAGATAAAAACAAATGCACAAATATAAGATGATAGCTGGCTTGGCAGCTGTACATTTGAAAAGGATTTGGGGTCTTAATAAAACTCAGGCTTAACAGTGTGATGAGGCAGCAAAAAACCCCAAATCCAATATTCCATTGCATCATCACAACTAAAAGGTCTGGATCAGGGGAAGTAATAATACCACTCTGTTCTGCTTTTGTCGCCTCCATGGAATACTGTGTCCAGTTCCATGTACTACAGTTTAAGAAGGATATTTACAAGCTGAAATACGTCCAAAAGAGGTTGTCCAGGATTGTTAAAACGTCTAGAAACCAAGTCCTCTGAAGAACTCCTGAGGGAGCTAGGTGTGGTTAGCCTGAAGAATGGCAAATATTAGAACAGCTGTCACTTGCAAGCGTGAGGAAGTTTGTTTTCTATGGCTCCAGAGAGCAGGACCCAAAGTAACGGGTTCAAATTATGAAAAGGGACACGCCTCCTAAATGCTCGAAGAAGGTCTTGACAGTAAGAGCAGCTTGACTGTAGAATGGACTGCCTTGGAAGGCAGTGGACTCTCCCTCATAGTTTTTAAACAGAGATTGGGGGGGCAGTTTTTAGGGGTGCTTTAGATATGGATTTCCTACTTTGTCAGGCAGTTGGAATTCATGAATCATGGGGTCATTTCCAGCTCTTCAGTTCTGTGTTTCTTTGATACTGTTCTCTGGAACGCCTCAT